GCTGTGCCCTTACGGAAATCAGTCGAGCTGGAGATCATCGGCACGCAACAGCAAAGAGTGATTCGTCCCATAGAAGGCCCTAATGACTAGTGCCCCTAAGAGGTGTTCGAATACGTGTGGACTTGACCCGCCTCAACTCTTTGGTCCTGAGGGAAAGATTTCTCCGCCCATCAGTGGAACAAACGCTCACTTTCTTAGGTGAGGTTACCAGTTTCTCAAGACAAGATGCTAATTTTGAGTTTCACCAAATCCGTCTTTCCCTGGCATGTAAAGAGCTCACAACATTCATAATGCTCTCTGGATGCTTTTGTTTCTTGAGTCTTCCATTCAGCAGAACATCTGCATAGGAATATTTTCAAAGACGCATGTCGTAAATCCTGAGTGAACTCACAGGAGCTGTTAACCTCATCGACAACATTCTCATCTTTGGCCGCAGTCAAGTCAAGCACAACGGAAAACTTGTCCCGACTCTCAAGCAGCTTGCTTCCTCTGGAATAATCCTTAACCATTCTAAATGCGCTTTTGGAGTTAAGGAAGTGACGTTTCAGGCTGTGTAATAAGTGGGCAAGGTGCACGTATTGTCAAGAAAACGTCGGAGTGGACATCAGGCCCTGTTAAGAAAAAAGCCTGCCTCCCAAAACATCAAGAACCTCATCTATTTGAGCCAGTGCTTAGAAAAATACCATGCAGAATATCCTACTACACTCTCAGCCGACGCATTAGCCCACGGACTGGGCACATTACTGCTGTAAGTACAACCTGATGGTAACAACCACCTGGCTGCATTCGCTCAAAGTCCATAATGCCAGCTAGAAAAGGAGACATTGGCTCTGACTTTGGGAGCCGTACAGATAGCTGTGTAGTCTCATGACAAGAAGACATTGGCTCTAACCTTGGAAGCCGATCCGATACGTGTGTAGTCTCATGACAAAGGAGACATTGGCTTTAACCTTGGGAGCCGAACAGATACTTGTGTAGTAGTCTCATGACAACCTTTCAAACAGATCATCAAGCTTTTGATCCCCCTCCTGGGAATGCATCTCTCAATCTGCTGCCACCACGAATCGGTACTCTTCTTCATGTGCCTCTTGCGCTTCAGCTACTTCATGCAGTACGTCCTAGAAAAAAGCATTGTTTTTGCTGACACTTTCTCGGGAGCACCAACAGCAAGCAATTCGATAGCAGGACTCTCACTTGTTATGAAGGGAACGCCTATGTACAGAGTGCACTCACGTGCCTGGAAACTTCTGCCTTCGATCCAGTGAAGAAAGCTCAAACGGAAGACGGGATGGTCAGAGAACCACAGTGTCCCGGCCCCCCTCTATTATTTCTTGCGTTACCGAACAAGTTTGCCTGGTGCTGATGACTACCTACTCTACGGAACGCGCATGGTGGTTCTGCATTCTCTGAGGAGTGAAATTCTCACTTGCCTACATGAGCATCACCATGGCATTGAACGTTGCAGAGTAAGGATGAATCAGTCTATGTGGTGGCCTTGAATTTTATCGGATATCCAGTGAATTGTTTCTAACTGTGAAACTTGTGCCAGGAATCAACTGCAGAGCTGAACTGCTTCTGCCAACAGCTACACCAGAGCTTTGATGGCAGATGATGGGAATCGGCTCATTTCAGCTTTGGAGAAAAGAACTACCTGATGTTCATGGACTATCACTCATGGTACCTCCTGGTTTCCACTTCTGCAGATGGTCATCAATCATCTCAATAGCTGAATCGCTCGTCATGACATCTCTGTGACAGTGGTGTCAGACAACGACCTGCAGTTCTCGAGCTCGGCATTTGGAAAATTCGCAAAAGCACACGGCTTCAACCACACTTTAAGCAGTCCTCTTCATATACAGGCCGATGGGAAAGCAGAATGTGCTGTTCAAGCAGTGCAGGGGTGCAACAGCTGTGCCGATTTAGTAGAATTCCTGATTGTTGTGCGGAGCTACACCTAAACCATGAAATTTCCTGAAATTGAGCACGCTGCATCAGAACGCTCAGCCAGCCTTTTTCACCAGTGCGCGCTACTATCGGCGACAAAGGCAGGTCATGTCAGCCACCTGCAGTTTGCGCTGTCAGTCAAAGCACGCAGACCCTAACTATTATGCCCCGAATATTCTAGACACCCGCCCTATGCTCGCGAGACGTGATCGACCAGATAGAATAACAAAACTGCGCTCCCATCAGTCTGCCGACTGTACCTGATACCCATGAACGAGACGACGAAACTTCAAGACAGAAATGTGTTGCTGTATTGCTGTAGCCACAAACGATTCAAGGGAAATGTAAATTTTCTAGCCTGAAAACAAGACTATTCTTGTTAGGAACTAGAGCTGGAAGCGTATGCCGCATTTTTCTTGTGCGAACAAGCTCGACATGCTGCAAACGCCGGCATTGTCGGCGACCACCTCACTTGCCATAGCAGTGGCTCATAGTTTTTTTTTCTTTTTGTCGCCGACTGAATCGCTCACTGAGCTATTTTTGTCGCTGCCACCGGCTCCCGCGCAAGCAAACCACCAATAAGCGTTGCGCCTGCTTTATCTCATTTATGACCGCCTGCTTTATCTCACTTAATTCCTCTTCACATTTGCGTCGCCTCTTTACCCATGCCGTTTCCTCTCTCTGTCTGCCACGGAAAAAACAAGCCACGAGCCAGCAGCTAGCAGGCGGGCACGCACACTCCAACATGTCCACTCTTGCCACGCTTCTCTTGCGGCGCCGCCAATGTGGACAGTGCCGCTGGCTGCCGAGCGGAGGCACTAACCGGCGGGACGCCGCCATGGCATGCTTCCTGCCAGTGTGCTCATGTCGAACCTGCCTTGCAAGTGAGGCGCAGCGGCACCTAATCCCACGATGAAAGAAAAAAAAAGGGGGGGGGGGTAGGAAATGGGGCTGTAAGAAGTGTAGCTGTTGGAAAATTTGTTGTCCTTGGTTCTAACCATGCAAAGAATGCTGCTTAAGCTACCTTCGCTGCAGTAGACTGGGGACGTGCAGAAAAGCATATTGAGATTTGGAAGGGGCTGTTAGCGCAAGTCACAAGACACTGCACTGTACATTTTGTTCAGTTAGTCATGCGTTTTTACGTCGAATAATTCTGAATGTCATTATAATCACTGACATCTAAATAAATTACTGGCTATCATTTGTAGCAGTGTATGAAATTTCTGCTTCCCTAAAAAACAAACTAAATGGTTGGCCAGTTTTTTTTTTTTTTGCCACCCCTACTCTTCGGTTTTATGGATCTCCATAATTTTTAGGTGGCGAGCATGGCAGATTCATATTTTAATTTGCAGAGTTCGTCAAATGATTTGACAGGCACAGCAAATGCTAATATGTGCTTCATCATTGTTTGCTCGGGGATATGTGCTTCATCATTGTTTGCTCGGGGGATGGTTCAAAATACTAATTTCATTGAGGTAGCAGTGCTCATGTTCACATTTCATGATTTAGGTGATGTTGGATGGCTTATGCACATTTTTTTTTTCTAAATGTAAGCCTTTTTTTTATGTTGCTTCAAATTTCATGTTTCATGATAAAAAATGAATGTTTTTCCCGTAACCTGCTCCAAATTTGGATTTTAGTGTTCTAAAAGTAACATTTTGCTGCCTGGAAAATTGCTCCAAATTGTATTTCGGCTATTGCACTGCTGAGCAGTCAAACATCTGCTCAAGAAAGTAGATGACTGACCTTGCCTTACTGGCCTACAGAGACACGCTGGGGCTGACGGGCTTCAGCCCAATTAAATTGCCCACTTGAGCTCCTGTACTGCCGACCTTCCTACTTTCTGGAAACATCGACAACAAGTGACAAAAAAGGACCTTGAAGTGAAACAATGCCAGAGGCGAAATTTTGACTGTTTTCATGCAGCCAAAGCTCTACCAGCTCTATCTCAGAAAACCTGTGTCTGGGTGTGAGACCTCAAAGGCCAAAGGGACGTAACCCAGCTAACAAACACTCCTCGCTTCTACTGGGTTCAAAGGGAGCGTGGACATGTCCGTCGCAACCAAAGGTTGCTCAGCCTATTACCGGCTTCACAGAAGAAAATGCAATTGCCTCCGGCCTCATTACTTTTATTACCTAGATTGCAAGCCCTTGACAGTTACAGTTCTGTTAGCTGCCCTCTACAATATAGCTGTGTCTCAGCGAGGCGACTTTTTGCAAACCAACAACAACAATTCACTGCCCAAGCCAGTCAACAATGCCCCAGCACATTTCCATCAACCACCACTCGGTCTGGCAGCAGAGTCTTTGTGCTTGACTATTACAGGGCAGTCACTCAAGAGGGAGATGTGGCAAGGCACCTCGCCTATTGTAACACGCACGGGCCGCATAGTGTAAACAACAAAAAGCTCAGTGTGCCCTCCTGGTACATGGATCGAATTGCACTCCAATGGAATGCGTGTCTAAGTGCCTGGTAAACAAACATTTTTAGTTACCTTCAAGCTGTGTAGAGAGACATTTTCTTTTCTACATCTCCAGCTCACAGCAATAAGCTCATAATTCAGATTTCATGGGACGAACAAAATTATTCTAATCAACTAAATGGGTGACAGTATATTTGTGAAGTGTCATGGGCTAATAGGGAGACTATTATTGTTAAACTTGCTATTTTGTATGCATTTGTATTTTGTTTATTATGCTGTATAAAAATTACTAATGTACGAAGTGCCACGTTGATGTTGCTTTTATGTTCTGTATTATAGTTTTTTTACTATGATGAGCAATCATAGCATCTGTACAGAGTGCCCACCTGTACTTACTAATGTACAAAGTGCCAGGTTGATGTTGCTTTTATGTTCTGTATTACAGTTTCTTTACTATGATGAGCAATCATAGCATTTGTATAGAGTGCCCATCTGCTATGGTCCCAGTGGAAACTGGCAGTATTGCAAATAAATAAATAAATTTCATTGTAACTCAGAAAAGGTGCTGCAGGGCCCCTTAGAGAGCAGGAATGTGTTTGTGCCGTCACAAGACAGACATTCCTCCCTTTGCAGCCAAGGTGTTCTCCTTCTGGACGACATGTGAATCACTCGTGCCTGCCTTTGGAGACATCTTCTCTTCCTTGGTGTTCAATGCTGCTCTGAGCTACCAGCCGGGACTGCCATTCCTCATTGGTGCCGCCCTGCAGCTGTTCCCATTGGCTGCATTAATGTGAGTGTGGCCTCACTGACTTCAATGTAAAGTCTTGCAGCGATGGATGTGCTGCTCCAATTGCTACGAACTGCTCCAAAAGAGAAATGTGTCTCCATGCTGCTTCAAACTATAATTTTTGTTAGTAATAACTGCTCCAAACCTGTTTCAAAATGGAGCTGGGAAATTAAAGTAGTGAACTTCGATTGCGTGACCATCAAGCGAGCCTAAACAAAAACAAAAGCAGCATCTATACTAGCATATTCACGATACTAAATGTACTAACATTGTAGATATATAGATGTTTTACAAGCAGACTATTTTTGTGAACTGTGTGAGATTAGCTTAGCATTACAATCATTACTAACTGATCCTGTCACGACTTTCATGCGTGACTGATTACATTTACCACTTTATCTACTTTGACCTCATTTATATCACAAGAACTGGCATTTCAAATGTTTAGCTCACTTAGCTCATCTTACTTTCAAGGTTTTCAAGGCTGGCTGTTTTGGTGAAATATGAAAATAACATACTGTACTTCTACCGGTCATAGACTGCTGCTTTGGCAATAGTTACATGTGGCAGTTGCTACTTTTGTGATTTGGGGCTCAGCCTTATCACTAAGTAAAAGCTCGTTGATTCGGATTTCACGGGACTGGAAAAACTGTCCGAATTAACCAAATGCCGAATTAACGAATGAACAGGGAAAACAACATTTAAAATCAAGCTGCAGAAGCATACCTTTATTTGTTGAAGTATTTTGTAATTGTCGTCTGCGTTTTCGCGCAGATTCCGGCTGACATCACAATTTTTCTTAACTGTTCCAAATGGCCAACAGCACGCAAGCTGTCGGGAGTGTTCAGGCAAGCGTCCTCTAATATTAACAGCGCCTCCGAGACTTCCCGTGAGGTGCGATGAGGTCGCGGCTGTATCTCCTCGCATGATTCTTCGTTGGAATTGTGGTCTTCATGGCTGCCCGTGACATCATTAATAATCTCCTGATCGGTCAGGAGACCACTCGTGGCGACAACGTGATCAATCGCGATGTAGTCCTGAAAGGTCACATCTGTGGGAAGGACAGCATCGAAAGTCAGGCAGTCATCGTCGGTGGACTCGGCTGACACCTCCTCGATGCCATCGTCAGCTACTGCTGCATGCTCGGGCCTCACAAAACCGCTGTGCCGAAAACAGTTGGCGATGACTTGCGGCGGAGTGTTTTTCCACACGTGGGCGATGATGTGCACTGCGCCGAGTAAGTCCACTTAATACAACTTTCTAGCTTCTGAGCATAGGATCATTCGCTCTAGCAGGTGCTTGCGGTACTTTGACTTCACGTAATGAATGATACCCTGGTCCATCGTCTGAAGAGCAGACGTAGTGTTGGGCGGCAAAAAAACTACTTTGATGCTCTTCAGTTCGACTGTACAGTTATGGGCACTGCAGTTGTCAACAACCATAATTATCTTACGGTCCTTCGACGTGAAGTGCCGGTCCAACTGCTGCAGCCAGCCGCGAAAAATGTCCGATGTCATCCATGCCTTCCTGTTCGCTGTGTACTCGACAGGAAGGCTTTTGACGTTCTTAAAACAACGTGGCTTAAGCGCCTTCCCGACGACAAGTAGTGGCAAGCGCTCCGTGCCAGTCATATTGGCGGCAAGAATCACAGTTATCCTTTGCTTGCACTTCTTGCCACCAATGCACACGTCCCCTTTGAAAGTCACCGTCTTGTCGGGCAGAGCTCTGAAAAATAGAGCAGTTTCATCTGGATTGAACACGTCATGTGGTTCATATGCGGCGATGTGCTCCAGCAGCTTCACATTTCTCCACTCGGTGATCACGCTTTCGTCAACACTGGCCTTTTCGCCGCACACACTCCTGAAGACAAGTTTGGGTCTCTCTCGAAACCTCGCAAACCACCCTTCTGACGCTTTGAACGATTCAATGTTCATCATTGCAGCGTACTTCTCACCTTGCGCCATGATGAGAGGTCCGCTCAAAGGCAGATGCGCGTTGCGACAGTCAGTAATCCACCGGAGCAAAGCTTCTTCGAGCTGGATATGAGCTGCGGTTCGCAACCGCTTTCTAGAGGCATGAAACTTCTCGCTTTCGAAGGCTTGTCGAATCTGTTGCTCATTTTTCATGTACGTTCCCAACGTGCTTCGCTTCACGTTGTACTTGGTCATAACCTGCTGTCGCGATTCGCCGTTCTTCAGTGCTTCCAAAATTTCCACTTTAGTCGCCAAGTTCTTCGCGTCGTAGTTCTGCCGCTTTTTCAGCATTGCCATCACTGTAGCGCACGATGGTGGTGGCATGCAAATACGGTCACAATGGAAGAAAAAGAGAACTCCGCAAGAAGAGATGGCTCTGACACGACAACACAAGGAAAAATGCGTTGGAGGCGCTGAGTGGAGAAGAAAGAAGACGCCGACGTTCGGTGTCGCTGCGATCGCCCCCACTAGTTTATGATGATGGCGATGCCACTCAGGTTTCGGTTTCACTCTAGTGGTGCCAGCGCTGCTTTATCACACTTTTGTGTAGCAGCAGCCGTCAGCATTTGTCCGAATTAAGCGGTGCGGAGCCGAATTTCGACGAAATAACAAAGGTTTGGTCGCATAGAATAACATGCACTTTGGCCGGGACCAATAGAGCCGTCCGAATTATCCGAATTTCTGAATTAACGGGTGTCGAATTAACGAGCTTTTACTGTAATATATATCCATCACAAGTAAACCTAAGGGCTCATTTCCTTTGTTATACACTGTAACAATGAGAACTAACAGACAATAATGCCATGAAAAGTAGGGAAGATGTTATAGGAAGTAAGTGTAACTTAAATGTGAAGAAAGAAAAGTGGAAAAAAAAGATAAGTTGCCACTGGCAGGATTCAAGCCTGCAACCTTCGAATAACGTGCCCGATGCTCTACTACTGAGCTATGGTGGCATTATTGTCTGTTAGTTCTCATTATTACAAGTATTGGCATTTCAAATATTGTTAGCTCATCTTACTTAATGTTCAAAGACTAACCATCTGCTTATTTAATTGTTTAATACTATTTCAAGTGATTATTGCATGTGCAATATGTTTGAAAAGTATTCATATTCATAAGAAGCTTTGATGATACTTTAAACTCTAGGAGTCATTTGGAATATTATGCCATCTGCTCCGAGAACATCAATAGTTGCTCCAAACTAGCATATTTTCTGCTCCAAAAGCACTTATGGCTGTTCCAAAGCGCTATTTTTTCTGCTCTAGAATCTGCTCTAAAAATCAAAATGTCGCTTCCACCACTCATCCCGTTGATCAGCCAAACAATTAGGTAAGCCTGCATCTTGAAGGCCCCACCTCCACTCTGGGGGGTCAGTCCATCAAAATTCACAGGACACAAGCCAGCAACGCTGAGAACAAGAGCTCCCTTTAATTTATGGCACTAAAAAGCTCAACCAGCATTCTGCACCGGCACAACACAGCACTAGCGCACACAAGAGGACCAAAAACCTGGAACAAATAAACCCCAGGGACAGGCGGTCAATGAAACATACGGCGCGGAATATAATGGCAGGAAAGCCAGCGCGAGACATAGCAGCAGGAAAACTAACTCACACGTAACACGCCGTAGAGTACGAGCCATCGACTCGCCTTAGCAAACGCCCAAACCCGCGTGGCCTCAGCTCTGTAGGACTCACGGAGGAAAAACCCATCACGCCTAGTGCGACCGGCACTGCATTCGATCGCTCGCCTGCTACCGAAAAGCTGCTGGGCTCGTCTCATCACCCTCTTTATCCGGCCACCACTTTTTCATCCCCTCCGGCTTTTTCGGATGCTGACGCTCGTCCTGCGCATGTGCAATGCGCATGGGCTCTCCTCGCCCTCCTTCCATCGATCGTGCGTGCTGCAGATAAGGGCACATGAGCTCGATACTCTTGAAACTTATTCAGATGTATTTATTTCGTCATACCATGGCTTAAGATGGTGTGTTACTTAACAAACAATGACAAAAAAGTTCACAGGGCACACGCTTAACATCCAGGAATGTAGCACATCTATACAGCTCAGTGCGTGTCGTATGCATCATTTCATAATCTTCTGTTTTTATAAAAAAAAGTTCAACCAGCTGGCCCGACTTCTATCCTGCTTCATGCTTTGGTGAATTCAGGCAGTTTGTGGTGCTCAGAGGCACAGAAGATAGGCTGGCACTAGGCAGTATAAAAAAATCCCCCTCTCTTGCTGTGAAAGGTGATCAGACAAAAGGGACATTCTGCTGCTATTAAAGTGAGACACCAACACAATGACATGGGCAGTAACTGGTTTCAGTTGGAAATGCCGCTCATATCGAAATCCGTTGGACATCGATTGGAAGTGCCATCTATATTGGATCTCTCTTTTGTGTGTGTTTCTTAATTGCAACAGAATGTCCTGCAGTAGGCAATACCAACTAGGCCCAGAAGCAATTCTTCTCAAGTAATCAAACAAAATTTGGAGTGGCTTTGCCCGTTTTCCTCTTTCACAGATCAAAACTTAGATGGCAGCAAAAGAGTCTCTCGAAAAAGTACACACCTGTGCTTCTAATGAAATGCTGCATTGAATGAATTTGTTGTTTTTGCTGAAGCAGAAGAAATTCCTGTGTGAAATCTCATCTGCTGGGACGAGGAGGGAAAGACATTTTTCAAACATTCCGACAGTTCATGACAATTCAGAATGCAAGCAAAAGGCATCACATGCTAAAAGTAACAAAGGATTTGCACAGCCCCATGAAATCCTTAAATACCCCTGAACTCCTTGTAACAGGGTGTGTACAGGTCCTTGAAATCCTTAAAAATTCTTCAATTGGAAAAATGCATTTTCAAGGCCCTTGAAAGTCCTGTAATTTTTTCCCGTCTTTAAAAGTTCTTGAAGCTGAATGCATTTGGTAAACTTCACAGAGCATACAGTGGAGAAATCTCACCGCTGTTGTAAGAATACACTGTGTTGCGAGGCTTTGTTTTTTTTTTTACCATAAGGATTTGCAAACTGATCCAGG